CGAGCGTCTGGTATGTGATTAGAAATATTTGTCCCCCTCATATTGCAATTAAATTTGTCTTGAAAGTTGGGAAAAAAAGACAACAAAATACCAGTCTCTTTTAACACAAACTTTGTAAGAGAGCATTGCTATAAACAAAGCATACATACCTGCACTAAACCCGCCCTGTAGTCTGAACTATATTGTACCTTTACTGATCAGCTTTAGACTTACAGAATCTCACTACAAAGCCTTGAGGGAAGGTAGAGTGGAAATTCTTTGTATGTTCATTAGCATGTATTGGCTTTTCTGCACATATATAAAAAAAACTGTATTAGAGAACAGAGAAAGAATTCAAAATTTTCCAGAATCATTGACTTTTATGGTCAAAAATAATGAAAAAAGCACATAAAAATAGAAATGACAAAAAAATGGCAAATTAAACACATGTAGTGTGCACTCTTTGGGCTCATGCCATTCTACCACATGGTGCCATACTTCGGTATTTAGAGGTTCCTGGTTCTCTACAAGTATACTGCTGGGGGCCAGGAAACACCCAGGGAAGGTACAGGGAATCAGATCTGCATTCACTTGCTGTAGACCCTCAGCTTGTCCCAGAGCGCTGCAGGATGCTGCAGGAGTGTTGAGGAACTTGTGCAATGCTTCGAGATAGACAAGTACAAAAATACGGCACTGGTAAATCTGACGGATAGGCAGCTAATTGTGATTAGCTTTTATGATGCAAGTTATAGTTTGATAGCTATTAAATGTGGTGTGCATTTTTTTTTGCTCTTTATACAGAAAGATATTATATATGTGTGCAATAAATGTACATAAAATTTTTTGGAAGCAGAAAAGGCAACTGAAAATATCAGTGACAAATATGCGTGGCATATTTTCTTTTCTCTCCAAAAACCTCTCACTAAAATATTTTCTCATCCTCCCCATGAAGTCAAATTTTGGTGTTATGTGAAAGAAGTCACAATAAAACTGTGGAAAAGGGAGTTTTCCTTGTAGTATGGCCAGTCTTCACCTGTGCTAAGCATTGGAGAAAATTCAGATAAAGGTGTTTGGGAGCATCAGCTTTGAGTGTCTTTTACCTTTATTCTTCCAAAAGTTTGTAAAATCTCCATCACCCTGCTATTTCCAACCCCAAATAATGGCCAGTCTTCACGAACGAAGATTTTGGGAAAGGTCTTTTACCTTTCCAGCCTGCGCAATGGATTTTTTAGGTGAGACACAGCCTGCGCTGAACTGAGCCCACCCTTTAATCCTAAGGTTCATCTGCCGGGGCCAAGCAAGCTTGGACAATGGCAGTGAGGTCCTCAGGACGTAGGTTTGTTTAGAGTGTCCTTCTCATAGATGGATGGCCTCACAGGGCTAACGAGCTCCATCTGCCCAGGGGACTGGGATTCGAACCTGGGTCGCAGCGGTGAGAGTCCCACATGCTAACCACTAGGCCACCAGGGGTCCCAAACCCAAATACTGTCCTAATAAAACCATTACATTTCTAACAGTTTTGTATAGCCACAGTTACAATACAGTACATGACCTACAAAAAGCAAGCGATTTCTTATAAATGCTACTGTGAAGAGACATTTACCAAGATGTAGGTAACCCTTGGTCTCTAAGTGTCAAACTCCAAGTGCATCTGACTTGAACTCTTGATTAATCCACTCAATACAAGAGAAAAAAATAGATTTCCTAATGAAATTTTTCCAAACTAGAAAGCAGTAGAGCTATACAGGCTCTTGTGAACAAGAATCAACATCATTTTTTTTCCTCTCTCTACTTACACATGTTGCTCTGTGCGCAAAGGGGGAGTGAAAAGTCACACAATAAGATTATCAGGTATTTCCAAATACTTGTAAAGCTGGGTGAATGAAGGGAAGGAAGGAAAGGAGAGAGAAAAGCTGCCAGGGAGAGAAGTACAGAGTGAAGAAGGAAATGGTGGAGAGAAAAAGAAAACAGTTTGTACCTTGGCCAATGGAATGCAGAACTCAGAACAGAGTTAAAATAACATAAAATAACATAATGCCTTCTCTGTAATGCAGAACTGTGACTTTTGCTGGGGGTAGACAGATGTGAATGAATCGAGGAGAAGAGCAGGATGCAAGGAAAGAACAGTATTTGCCATGGGTTTGTATAAGCCTAAAGTAATGGAGATCTCAGTGTACTGAGAGACCTCAGTATCAAGGGAAGCATTACAGTGCATAAAGGTAAAACTTTACAAGCAATGCTACAAATTTGAAATAGCTCTGCAAGTCCCAGTGCCTAAATGAAACCCCAAAATGAGCTCATATGCCTATATCCTATATATATTATATATGCCATGAAGGGTCAGTGTACCTTTTTGAGATTTAACAAAAGAAAGGGAAAACCACAGTGAAATAAGTCATAATACAGCTCTTGGCAGGGAACTAAAGGAGATCCATTTTTAAAGGCCATGAATGTAATTTTTCTAAATTCCCATGTGGGCTAATGAGGAGATTTTAGAAGAAAAAACCCAAGGGAGTTTCAGGGTATACCACGGAGAAGGTGCACTACATTTCTCAATGTATTGTCCAAAACCTATTATCACACAACACAGATCCAACTAGTTTCTCTAGTGTATAAACATGATATAAACCTATTGTAGCCATTTGGAGTTGGCTCCTCACCAAGTCCCTGAACCACACCGAACAAATTTCCCTCCCCCCTCCCTTTTGAAGGAGAGGAAAAAGGGGAAAAAAAAAAAACACCAAAGGACCTGAAATAAATTGAACTAAAGCAATATATATGCATACATACAATTACAGAACTATATATATAGAAAAGAACCACAACACCCCAAAACTAAAACAGAAAAGCAGATATATGCAGTTAATAGAGAGTTAACAAACAAAAGAATCTTAATACTTTACTTAAGAAAGTAGAACTGTGCCATCAGACCTCCCCTCCCAAGTCGGCAAAACAACAGGCCTCACAGGCCTGACCAGGCCTCGCCTCCACACGAGCAAGACCGGCTGCAGGGACCTGCTGTCTTCAAGTCCAGTGGAAGAGAAGAGGGAAGAACCTCCCCTCTCCTTCTTATTTTTACTCTTGCTTACGTAAAAAATAGAATGGAATACTGAGATATGGTATTTCCTTGGTTTCGACGTGGTTGCCAAGGAAGGCCTAACACCAAACCACCACAGCCTACAAATACTAAAACAAAGTAAATAATGAATAATCCAAATACGTTAAGCAGATAAAGTAATTCCTATATAATATCTTGGGCTATCAACCGCTGGTACCTAATGTTTTCCAGTAGAGTAAGGACATTGAAGTCTTGAGATTTTCCTGCATATATACAAGGTTATTGGTAGTGACTCTGTTTAATTATTCTGTCAAGTTTTCTTTTTAGTTCAAGACAAGAACATTAGTTGAATTGTAATATAAATACATGTACTGATACTCCCTTTACCATACACTGTTTATTAAAGGCATTCTTCTAAATTGCCCATTTCAATGCATCACCACCTGTGTGACTTGGGTGACATTAACTCAGGCAACATCAGTAAAATATTGAAAGGGGGTTGAAATCAGTCCTAACGTACTGAGCTGATTTAAAGGATTGTGGATCAGGTCCCAAATCAATCATTGCTAAAAAAAGAAAAAGGACATGCAATAGACTTCTCACTTTGAAAGACCAAGAAAATCTTCCAACCTTTTTTGTGTATGCTCCTGACCCCTGGCCATGTCCAACTTCTTAGGGCTTATATGTTACTCTCAGTCTTGGTCATATGATTATTTCTTTTCTGGGAAAACCAAGGCATGTGAGTAACAGTTATATTTTAACAAGGTTTTCTCTCTAGATTCATATGGAAATAGAAACATACATTGCAATATATGCTTAAAATCAGTTTAGACAAATAGTACATTATATCATGGCATATATTAAGAAGGAATTGTTTTGTCTTTCTAATTATAAAGTAAACTGAATGCTACATTATGGTATCCTTTTTTTTAGTTCTGCTATAGTGTGTGAGATTCTTTTATTACCATCAAGTATTTAAGTAGTTGCACCTCAACATTTTTTCTTCAATATTTGACTCCTTCCCCCGTTCAAGTCTTTTAAAAATATTAATGAATAAACTATGTTACTCAACACAGTACTTGATTCTGTAGTCTGTGAGAAACTCTTATAAGTATTAAAACTAAGGCACATATGTTTGGTTCAATATGCTTTAGCCAAGCAACAGGGAGGTCTTAAAGTCCACAGAAGGTTTGATAAAAACCAGGATTAGCATATCCATCAGTCTGAAATGGTCAGCCAGTGGAACTTGAAATAAATAATAGAATTAATTGGATGAAAAAGAAATTACTAGAAAAAGGTGGTCTTTTCAGAGCCATGGAGAAAATAGGGTTGAGTCTTTCTCTATCTTTGGGGTTAGGGTAGAGAAAAGAGGATGTATTACTGCATTTAATTTTGCAATTGCTGAATGGGAAGCTAATGTTATGCACTTGCGAGGCTGTTTTTTAGTTATTTTTTTTGGCTGCAAAATAGAATTACCAATTAGATGCTCTATTTGGATGGAATATAAGGTTTTCTTGAGTGCACAGAATGTTATCATACTCATTTTAGCACTGGTCTCTAGCTTTATCTGAGAAACAGTATCTTGGATCAGAACACATTGTTATTATTAATAAGAAAAAATATAAAAGGCAGTATCATTAATTTACCAAGGAGTAAACTGGTATATGGTTTCACATATCAGATTCAAACAGATAAGCATATATTGTTTGCAGATAACAACCTCTTACAAGCAATTTCTGAAAAGCAACTTCGGAACAAATTAATTGTAGCAAAATCCCTGTTAGATTTCTTACAGCTTCTATTTAATAGTTAATCACCAGATCATTCCTTTGTACATCAAAGCTCTCCATGTCATATGACCTTGCCCTGACTGCACATCTGGGTGAGACAGGGGGCATTCCCATTCCCAGGTCACTCTGCTCCCTGCTATCCCTGTGGGGCAGAGCTGAGCAGAGCAGGACTCGCCACTCCTCTCAGATTTCAGCACACCAGACCAGCAGTGTCACAAGGATCTCACAGCTGCTGCTGAACTCTCTGGCATATAACCACAAAGTCAAACAAATCAGACACAGGCCCATTTAAAGTAATAAATAATCCTATAAATGACTCTGTAGCTAGTAAACCTCGAAAGCTCTCCAATGTGCTTGGGGGCTGAGTTAATTAGGTACCTAGCACAGTAAGAAGGCCCTCTTGCTTTCCCTTAGTGCCCTGGCCCCAAATGGAAGAGCAGGGCTGGAACTCTGCCATGACCAGACTGAGAGGAAACGTAGAAAGAGCAATACCTAATCCAAAATTAGTGAAGTACGAGACAACAAGGAAACAAAATCAAAATTAGCAAAAGAGGGAAACAGAGTTAAAATAAATTTCTATTGGGGAGTTCCTAACAAACATCATGTTTAAGAAATTAATCAATTTGCAGCAAAACAAAAAGAAGCAGAAATCTCCAGTGAAGATCTGGAAAGAAGAAGTTTTTAAGAACTTTGTAGAATAATATGGGTGCAAATCAGACATTAAAAAAAAATCAACAGTGTAGATATCAGAAGTATTAACAGAAAACACAGAAACCATCTTTGCAGAGTCAGAAGGTGAAACATAACAGGTGAGCATACACTCAGAAAACTATAGAAACACAGGGCTTTTCTGGACTGGGGTACACTAAACTACCTGCCTGAAAATACATAATTGCTGTTTCGCTCAGCCTCTCTGTAGATCTGTGCTCTGCAAGGATACCAACACTCCAGACAGTTGATTCTACTTTTCAGCTCCATGAGTTCTTTATGAGTCTACTTATCTGCAGAGCTTTTGAAATGCAGGGCTAAAGGTATTAAATTACACTTTGGAAAAAAATACATATTTTCCATTCCCGTGTAGCTCTAAAGCACTGAAGATACAGAGGTCTCAGTGAAAGTCTCACTTGAAAAATGTACACATTTGTCTTGGAAAGAACTTTTCCTCTGTTTCAATCTCTCTAAAATGGTGGATGTACTAGAGAAACGTAAGAATTGTTCACTGACCTGCAGAGGTTTATCCTATTTGTGTAGCTCTTCTCCTATTATTATAAATGGTGCTGTCAAAAGCCTTCCTGTGAAAATATAAGTAGAACATAGGCAAAAAAGAATGTTTTGGGCACTGTATGACAAACACCAAACTGAAAACAGAACTCTAAAACAAAACACAACATCTTATTTTTTCTAATAACACACATTTATTTACTCAGGACAAATTTTTCAAAGGAATAAAAGACAGTTCAAATTGAAAAAAACCTATTTTGAAAAACTGTACATCACATAGCTGTACCGCTAGCATACAGTTCTGACAGACATACCAGTATCTGGAGGCTCATGTGACTGAAATGGAGCCAAAAAAAACAGATATAAAAGCCTGGGCAAACATTGCAAGTAAAAAAGAAATTTAGGAATATTTCAGAAGATATCAAATGCCAATTACTTAACATTATTTTTGTTTCAGATCTCTGTAACCTGCATGCATTTAAAAATCAAGATAAATATGTTAATCAAATCTTGATTATAAAGCAGAAGGACTTTTTTCATAAGTCACCAGATGGGAAAACATGCAATGTCATATATTCTGTACCTCTGCATGAAGAAATCTGCTTTATTTTGTTTGAAGGACTAAACTGCTAAATTTGCTTACTCTCCACAGCTGTTTTGCTCCAAAAGGAGAGGCTGTTAAGTAATGGTAGAAACGAGCTGAAAAGCATGGAATTAGAATAGCTAGTCAGCCTTGTGTATGGCTGATTATGTGAGAGGGAGAAAGAAAAAATAAGAATGGATGTCTTTGTACTTTTTTGTTATAAGAAACAAAGTAAAGCATGATTTGTATTAGGACTTTTGTACTTGATTTGACTGCAATTTAAAAGTGATTCTGAGATCATGGCAATCTAAATATGGAGATATTTACTATAGATGAAAAGATTTATTTTTAATCTGAAGTAAAACATAAGAGCATGGAAAATGATTTAATTTACAGCATTCATAGACTCAAGCTGCCGTGCATGTGGTAAAGATTAAATACTTGAATAAGGACTGTTAAATTAATACCTTTGATAATACCCTTAGAATTACTATGAATCAAAAATATTTGCACTAACTCCTTGATATTTGAGATATCATTAAGACACAAAAGTCTTGATATCTTTTCTCATGGGTGAATTCCAAGTATAAGATGGTTCTTGAGTATACTGATGTAAAATACAACTTTAATTCACTCAAATGGATAATAGATATGTATCAGTGTTGTGATTTAACCCCACGCAGCTGCCCACCCACTCCCTGACCAGCAGGATCCAGGAGAGAATCAGAAGGGTAAAAGCCAGAAAACTTGTGGGTTGAGGTAAAGACAGTTTAATAGGGAGAGCGAAAGCTGTGCTCACATGCAAAGCAAAACAAGGAATTAATTCACTGCTTCCCATTGGCAGGCAGGTGTTCAGCCATCTCCAGGAAAGCAGGGCCCCATCTCACATACCGGTTACCTGGAAAGACAAACACCATCACTCCAAACATCTCCCCTTCTTCCCCTCCTGCTTTATATACTTAGCATCAGGTCATAGAGTGTGGAATGTCCCTTTGGTCATCTTTTAATATCATTGACTCTCCTGCATATATCCCCACTGATTGCATATATTCCCACTGATTACAAATGGAGCCTTGAACAGCTGGTTCAGCCCTAAGTTTAAATTATAAGCAGCTGATAATAGGTAAGACTTAATGACAGATCTTGTGAGTCCATTCAAAACACTAATTTCTGGCAACAATAGTTTCTGGAAAAACATTGTCACAGTTTCGTCTATTTAGGTAAGCTTGTCATCATTATCACTATGGTCTTAAGGTTTGATAGACGGTAAACGAGTTTAGTACAGTCCTTTTGTTTTAGTTTCTCAAATGATCATTTTGAGCTGTTCAAAGAGGAGGCACTGTTTGACTGCTTAAAAACAGTGAGTTTAATCAAACAATATATGAACATTCCCAGTAGCTTACCACAGTTAGAAATGTAACTCAGTAAAACTAGGAAAACTTTTACGAATGGAGAAAAGATGCATTGATAGAACTCCTGACCCACTAGGGGTGTGAGATCATCAGCTATCTCCTCCAAAGGATCTCAGGAGGGGGTGGATGTTTAAGAAGCTCCCAAAGAGCTTTGTAAAGGTTGTGTAAGGATTGTGGGCTATCAGATTCCTGAGAAAGCATATAGGGTTTCAGGGAGAAGCTTAGTAGGTCTCCTGAGTTTTGCAAGGATTGAGGAGAGCTTCAACATACCGCTGGGGAGATTTTATAGCCTTGTGTGACTGTTAAATCTAGAGAAAAAGAAGTACATCAACTTTCATTTCTTTTCCCCAAAAAGTCAGCAAGACGAAAAATATATGGGTTTCCAAAAATTTTACTTTTTGACCTTTAGAAACAACTGGTTTTGCTAATGGTAGTCCTCTTGCCCTGAATTCACTGCTATGTGTGGTTAACCTTAACTTTGAGATGATTAAAGGCTTTTATTTTCTCCTTGTCCTCTGGTCAGGGACAGGACACTTTAACAAGTGACTGTTCCAGCTACTTACAGAGCAGTAGCAATGCTATCAAAGGAGATAAGCGTCACTTTTTTTTCCTGTCATGGTTATATGCAAACTTCAGGCAGCCAAACCATTACACTGTTTAAAGTTAAATTTTGTGTGTGCTTATAGTTGGAGAGGGAATGTTTCTAAAGTGAGAAATGCCTCTCATTATTTCTGAAGACAGACAAGTCTTTGAAGAAATAGTATTTGAAGTCAGTGTTTAATAATCTGAAAAATCATGAAAATGTTGTGAATTCAGCACGGGAATATTGTACATAAAAGCTACTTCAATTTTTTTTAAAACATCTCTCTTAGGTTCAAAAGTTCACTTCAGTGACATTGTGTAATTAAAGACCTAAATGTCTGGATGATTGAAATACTCTGGGGTGCAAAATTGCAGAGAAATACTGGAAGACAGCATTTACTGAGATATTTTAAACACCGAATTTTTGCTCCTCTATATGAAGTCAAGAATAACATCTTATAGGAACACACAATGAAACAAGGAAAGAGACTTTTTCATACTGTTTTTGATGCTCCAGAAATATCTGGTTCAGTTCACCTCAAGTTTCAGTGAAGCATTTCTCTAAGAACATTCATATTATCACAGTTTTAGAAGACCCAGTGTTTTGGCACTATACAGACCCTACAAAAAAAAAAAAGGCATTCCCTCCCCAGAACTGTTTTCTATCCAGTCCTGAAAAGAGAGAAACAGTGACTTGAAATGACTCACTAGGGTCACTCCATTAGTCATCAGCAGTGCCAAGAATAGAAAACAGGTTTTCTCATTCCATGCCTCAGACCTAATTTGTTAGACTATATTGCTTTCCAGTCAGAATGGTGTCTGTGACAGTGCAAAATAATATAATGTGGTTTTCTCCTTTCAGCCCCTTTTGTCCTTCTCCAGACTAAGGCTTGCATACTTCACTTCAGGTTTTCAATACTTAGAATGTAATTATTTCACTTTAAAGATACCATCACAGCACTACTCTTATATTCAAAATGTTGCATGAAGCTGCAAGTGTCCCTTTTCAGTGAATCCTGAGTTAAATAGGAAGAAAATTACTATCCTCTTCACTTCAAGTCATATTTTCCTTTGATTTACTAATCCATTTTGTTTTATCAGCTACCTGAGTACCCATTTGAAACCATTTTTATAAAGTAATTGTTTTCAGTGAGAGAAATGCATTTTACAAATTCTAAGCCTTTCACAGAAACAGGGAAAAATTAAATTGGATAGGGTAGTCGATTTTTGTTTAGAAAAAATAAACGCTGTTGCTGCTCAGAGATCACAAAAAAAATGAAATCCTATTTTGAAGAAAGTTATATTCTACTTTCAGAGCACCAATAAAAAATCAAGGACCTAAATTAACTTCTGAAAAAATTAACCATCCACTTACCGTACACAAAACAACAGGAGCCATAATTCCTTACACTGCTGCTGTTTCGTAATGAACTATTGTACTTTTCTATATTAAAAGAGGTTATGCTCATATGAAAGACAATTGCTCTGCTGTTTGAATGCAAATAATGTAATATTGTTCCTTACTTTGAAAGCAACTTTCCTAACCAAATAAACTGGCCTTTATCTGATGAGAATTTCAACATACAAAGTGATTTTTTAAATAAGGCCAGACAGTAATAATGTTTTCTTAGCATTATCTTACCCTTTCTCACTGAACAGTTGAGTCAGAGATGATTTTCTCTACTGGTGTTTATATTGATTGAATTAAATTCTTTGGTACACTTCATTATGTACACAAGTCCTCGTGCTTTATCTGTATGTGCAGTTTGTCCTTCTTACAGAATTACTACATAGAAGCTCTACAAGGAGGATAAACAGCAATAATGGAGCTTGGTTTTTTCCTGTACATCTTTAATGAACTTCATCCAAAATTGTGACGAGAATCAGCAATAAGGCACAAAGCCACACTTTCACAGCCTGCATGAGGGTCAATAGCATTGACCCTACTTAAAGAGCAATTCAAAGAGACTGGGCAACTGAAGATACCAGAGAGAAGGAAGTGTTTCTGATGACCTTTGTCTCTGACAGGGTTGAAATACCTAAGTTCTGGTGGCAAAGCAATTCAGAGTGGCCGTGTACTGACCAGCTAAGTTGATACTTACAAAGCTTTGGGTGGCCAAAACCATTTTATTGAGTTGTATATAATGAAGGGTTAAGTTCTCCACAGATTTGTAGAAACAGCTAAAGAGATTGCATTTTGTAATATGAATATGTATTACAGGCAAAGTATAGTCTTTGAAACAGTACTGGTCAAAATATCAATTTCACTTGTTATGGGGCAAATCACTGAGGGGATAAATCCTGTGAAGGGCCATATCAAACAACTTTGCAGCAAGTTTGTATTTTTCCTTCTCTGACTTTTCAGTGCTGATAAACACTTTAAAACCTGCTCATTCTCATTCTACCCATATGGGCCTACTGTGGTATAATTAACTTTCATCTCGGAGTATATATCAGAAGCAAATCAGTGATAGATTACATCCGTGAGCAAATATTTGCTCCATTAGCTCTAGTAAGGATTGGAGCTGTTTGGGCATCAGAAGTCTTACCATTTTTGAGACAGGACTTTTTCAGTCCTTTAAAGGTCAAAGTTGGTCTGACAGTGGAGAACACAAATTCCAAAGTTTGCAGAGAATGCTCCCAATTTTCTGACTTTTGAAACTGTGAGCTGTTCAAGGACCGCAGCTTATATCAGTTTTATTTCCAGCTTGTAAGGACAGGTGTGGGTTTCACCTAGTCTCTCAAGAAGAGCATATTGTGCTTGATCCCATCCCACTTACAGAATAACATGCACTCATCAATTTTGAACCAAAAATTCACAAGTGAGTTGACCAGGTACCTATCCATTGTAATACCGCTGCATACATTGTGATAACTCTGGTATTTGAAAATGGAATTATAAAATAGTTCATTAGAATTTAAATCCCTTTTCTTCTTGTGTGTTTATTGCGGAAAAAAAAATTGCAATATCTGCAGACTGAAAAACTTACTATATTTGTCTATTAGACCTTCATTTTGTATTGCATTAATAATTGCTTTGGCCACAGGGATGTGTTACTGCTAAACCAATTGGCACATTCAGTTTGCTGGGGTGATTGATTCCTCTTTTCAGAAAA